GCTCATTTTCATTAATTGCTGTCTAATGTGGTCTCTTGGTGTGTCACTGTGTGTATTCTGGGGTTTCTTTGCAGGGAAAAGATAATGTCATATTCTGAATAATCTTTGATAAGCTCCCAGGACTGACAGTAAGAGACATCTATTCATGGTAGTATTTGGGTTTTTGCAGTTTAGTGATTTGAACAAGTGCTGTGAAAATTCCCATTTACTCTCATTATTTACCACCAATTTTACGGCCAATTTCAGTGCCTATTCCATCTCTCCAGTACTCTGCCACAGTATACACACTGTTCACAGGCAGGTGAGGGCAGATGGAAAGAAAATGTATTCAGCTTATAAACGTCATTAAGTGAGCAGAATTAAGAGAATTCATGGAACACTTCCTGCAATGATTAAACACTTATCATCTACTGTGATATAGTCTACAAACATCTTACTAAGGCTTCATTTTAGCAACCTTGCTCAAGCTTATCTAATTCTGGAACTACCCTACCAAAAGATTTTTCTCGGCTACAAAGACAAAATACTGATGTATTTGAAAGCAGGACTGACAAATGTAATCTGGGTTTTTTAAAGCACTTTTCAATATTGTCCTATGCTCTGTTGTTGCTAGCTTGGACCTCATATTTCAAAAGATTATTTGAGGATAACTGAGTAAAGAACAATTATTTGTAGTGTTTCAGATTCAGATAGATAGTCTGAAGGTGTCTTTATTTTAGTCTCCTAGTATCACTTAACCAAAAAAAAAACTGATCTGGGGAGAACAAAATCTCCCTATTGTAATCACATTTGCTTTTAATCAAGGAACCACTATTTTGCTGCTTTGAGGGCAGAGAGAATCTTTCTACAGCTTTTGACACAACCTATTTGGTATTCAGAAAAATGAAGCAGCCAATTAACTGACATTTTTTTTCTACATAATAATATAAGTAAAACTTCAAGGCTTTGTCTATACTAGGGAAATTTAGACAAGTTTCTCACTGTTGCTGACACTGGCTTGGCCGAAGCACTGTTAGGAATATGAAAGGTCTAACGCAGACAAACTCAGCAGCCACAAAAATTGCTGTCAGCTATTAGACTTTCATGGAAAGGAACAGGAGTAACATTCACAGGTATGAATACCTGAACAACTTCAGACAAGGAACATCAGAGTCACGGGTAAGACTCACTCTTTGAAGGAAATCTATAACAAGTCTGTTGTTTACCAGTAGTTTCTGAAAACGTTCCCCAAAAGTGTCACCATTCCCTTCTTAAATCTATTACTTTGTCAAAACCTCAACTTTTTAAAAAGCCATTTTAACTTAGAAGAGCCTATTGAAATATATTTTAACATGAAAATAACTTAATATGTTAATTTAGGATAAAATTTGAGTTGAATATTTTGCTTGATTTTTTTTGTGAATATGTTATTTTTGATCATAATTTCTGTAGAATAAATTCTAAAATATGCTTTATAATGTGACTTCCTCACAAAATGCATCTGAATTCTCGCTGCATACCGTTACACTTGCATCTACAAGCATGCTATCCAGAAGTTATTCCTACACCTGAATGGTACTTTTAAATTAAACTTTTTTATGTAAAAAATAAGCCATTAAAACATTGCTGGAAGGAATACAGTTACAAATTAGGGTACTGGCAGAAATCCAAAGTTATTGGGAAGGTAGGAGATTCACGCTACTCATGCTGCCAGTAGTGATTAATTAAAGGTCGTTAGATACCTGAAGCCCCAACAGTTCATTCAATATGATTCCCATTGAAGGAGCGACCTGCTTTTCCAGACAAGATATTTATGCAGGCAGGAGGGAAAAAGAAAACCATGATAGCAGAGCTTGAAGATGCACAAAGCTCTGAACGTTCATGTTTTATTTACAGTCGCAGTCCCACTCCTAGACTGGTTGTCTGTGTATCAGGACACATGATTTCTCTCTTCACAGTACAGCTAATAAAGAAATCCACACAAATCAGATGGTAGAACTGCTGAGATCTGAGGCTAAAACCTTTGTGACAATCAAGTACAGAGGAGCAAATGCATGCAGAGAACGCTGAAGAAAGCAGTGGAGAAGTTGGATGATAAAAATGTCAACTAGTGAAAGGAGAATACAACACTTCACACTGTATTAGTGTTATAGGTTTTGTTTTTCAGCAGACACCTAGATTTCATACTAAACAGGGCAGATTTCAGCTCTTACAAATGAAAAACATCTTCCCATAAACATGAAGGATTTAAAATTATTTCTAATTTTTCATCACATCTGCCAGAAGTCCTTTGAATCCTAAATCACACAAGAGAACACCCTCGACTAAGTCCAGTTCTTATGATAATCATCTGGAGTGATAAATTTTTCCAGTGTCACTCATATCTTCCTGACACCTGCTCCCCAGATGTTGGATGAATGTTATGTTGCATGCTAAATAGCTGTCATATTGCTGATTATTGTTTCCACACTGATCATAAAAAAAAAAAAAAGGATTGAGATTTTTCAATGAAACTGACAAAATCTAAGACGATTAGGATGCCACTTCTTGAGGAGGAAAGCTTACATGATCATCTGAAGAGAATAAAGTTGAACTAAAAAGTAAACAAATCAAAAAACCCATAACATTTGTGATTTAAGGAACTGCTAATAGGTGCCACAGGAACAAACTGCTGAATTTCTCTTTTAAATAATCTGTGATGGTCTTTAAAACCATTATAAAGTTCTACTTTACATAAAAGCAACACTGTGAACCTAGTGAGCAATCTAGATATCAGGAAAAAATCCCCAAAACATTACATGTGAAAATAAACACATGAAGATTAGATACATCGTCAGTGTTGAAGAAAGATCTTTTGCTTCCACAGTCAGATAATTTGTTTTTGGAAACCTGGTTATGGACACAGCTGATTTACACAAAGGCTCACAATCCAAGTAGTAATTCAAAGACCACATTTTCAAGGATTCACACTGGTTTATAAAGTCCCTGAATAAAGTCTCTTTATTTTCAAATGTTTTACTAAATAAATAAATAAATAAATAAATCAAACCAAATAAAAACAGGACGTTCTCTAGTCCAAAAAGTGAGTCACCAAAAATGGCTCATTAGTCAGAATCAAAAGCAAATATGAATCAGGTATTTTTTGCTTATTTTGTTATGCACTGGTTTTTCAATTAATCATTCATTTGGTTAATATAGGTTGGCCTTAGCTTCTTCCTGTGCATCTTTAGAAGTGAACTGAATAGGAACTAAATATCTATGGTCTTTTAACATAAGGAAAAGGAAAGAAAGGGTAACTTTAGTTGTATATAACATGCAGTATCAAAGGAAACAAGTTCAATATAGTACTCTGATAAACAGTTCACAATTGCTCATTTACTCCATTCATTTATATAGATGCTCTTCTTTCTAGCACAAGAATACAAACTGTTATTCTGCTTTAAAATTACATTTTGCCTTGATCCAAATTTGCTCTCATGTAGGCAAGCTTTAATCTGAGGTAGCCTTATCACTATTTGGGCCCAATCATGTTGGTCCCTGTGATGAAATTCAAATGCATCTAAATGATTGGTGAGGTATCTCAAGTATACAATGCAGATTAACCATACTTTCTGAAGATAAGTTTTTCCTTAGAGCAGTTCAAAGCATAAAAATATAAAACAAGTAATAAACTCACTTTTCAATGTTTCAAGTCTGAAAATGGGAATTTCTTATAAGATCACAATGCAAGAGGATAAATTGCCTGCCATAATTACTATCAGCTATACCACTAATAGTGTAACACCTATTATATGACACCAATTCAGTAAAAATCGTAATGCTCCCTCCTTTTGAAAATACTATGGTCACAAAGAAGAAAGTCCTGCTAAAATTTTTCAGCAATTTACCCATGCAAGACATCCAGTCTGAGGCCCAGATGCTGCTCCTTGGCTCTGAAACACCTGCCCAGTAGCATTTGAGTAGTTAAAAAAAAAAGCAACAGTCCTTTAGATATGGCATGAGGTGGACTTGAAGAAATCTGGACTTAATTTCCAGCTTTTCTCATGTGTAAGATCCTTCAGATCCTCATTGCCCTGCTACACCACTACCTGCCCCATATAGAAGTGTTCCGCAATGATATCTGTTAATATTTGATAGATGCGGTATTAGGACTCTATTTAAATGGATACTTAAAGCTCAGGATTACAGTTGAGAACAGAGCTATACATCATATTGATATTTATGTCCATTTTTATATACGGAATCCTTTAGTACCCTGGGTAACCACTTCCTGTATTCAGTATTTCTATTGCTATATAAACATGTGGCTTTGCAAAGAATTTGTTCCTGACACCAGTGAGGATAAAACTATTGTAAAACTATCATGATTTTATTGATTGGGTAGAGAAGCCGACATATTTTTCTAACTGCAATGATACAAGGCAGCTTATGGAACTAACTTATTTACCTATGGATGGAAGAGCACAGAAAAAGAAAGAAAACAGGGTGACAAGATGACTCTGCAAAATGCTCAGTCTTACATATCCCTTAATATTCTCCAATCTTTAAAGTTTCCAAGACAGAACTAAGCTCTACTGCCACCAAATCAGGATTTTAACTTGAACAAAATTTTTGGCAAAATACTTTCTACCAATTGGAACTGCATGAGTCATGCCAAAACTTATCTCACATACTCTAACATGCACATATAGGAAGGGAAGACACTTTATAATGCTCCATTTTCATAATGAAACACAAACAGTTAGGTAACACACAGAAGAGCATAGTAAGCAATGATTAATGAGTATTTGTCTAATGAAGGGACTTCTAATGGCAATATTTTGCATATTTCAGCCTCTGAGCCTAATTAGCAAATATTAATCTGTTTTAATTAATCAACCCCAGGAAAAATGATTATAGAAAATGATGGAGTAGGAAAATTAAAGAGCATACTACCCTCGGACGGTACAAAAGATATTCTGGAATAATAGGCTGCTGACAATTCATCAGATTTAACAAGGTACAGTAAAAGAAGAACTGACCTCCCGAGGACAAATGATTCTCTTGGGACGTGGTGCCTCTTGTTGTAACTGATACACTGTCAAATATAAAAACATAAAGATAATTAGAGGATTGCAACATACACGAAGTTTCTTTCAGATGCTTATTTTAGCTGGGGTGTGCAGAGAAAAGTTCAAATGCAAAGAAAAGGATGACAAGCAGAGGAATTTAGCCATGTACATAAGTCACTTATATGAAAACCAGTAAAACCTGTAAACTAACCAAATCGATTGTTTTAACTCTTAGAATTCTTATATATTTAATTTAGATGGCTTTAACTCTTTAGTACTTGCTATGTTTCTATACTGGGGAAAAGCACACAGAAGAACTTCCTATGAACTTCCTATCTCAGTGTACAATCTTGCTTCTGTATACACTATGACATTAAAACTCAAGCAGGATTTTTGAATATAGCACTCATGCTTTTTTGATAGGCTAAGAAAAAGCTTATTAAATCTGAAAGAGTTCACTAGAATCTTTTATTTTTTTAAGTTGTGCTGGTAATTATTTATGAGCAAGCAATCATTGCTTTTAGAGTAATTATACCATATTCAAATAGCCTGGGATCAATTTTGCATATCTTCCTAGGGCTCCAGAAGAGAAATCTGAGGCTAGATGCAGTTGCTGAACTCTGGCCCCTAGCCTCTTCCCTTCATGTATTTAATGAGATCCTTTCCTTCCTTTCCACTCAAAAGTCAGGAGAGGAAGTTGACAGACAATGACAGTAATCAATTCCAATGCAGACAGACTGTCTCTCCTTAACTCCAGGAAAAATCCCGAAGGTTTGGATTGTTTCCCTAGAGAAAGGCCCTCTGCATGCTGATCTTCTTGAATTTGAAAAGACTGTTGTGTCCTATGCTTTTTTCTAAAAGCCCAAGTTTCCAGGACAGAGCTCTTGACAATGTTTGCGAAGCCCTGAATGGTGGTAGATTATGCGGGGAAAAGAAGGAGGAGAAATAAAGGTCTGCAGGTTTGATAAATCCCAGAGTTCCTGCTGCAGAAAAGGAACAGAAATGGCAGGGATGACCCTTCGGCACCTTCTGTTACCTTGCTCACGTTCGCTTTAAATGGGATCAATGGCAGCTGCAATGACCTTGAAGAGCATGGAAGTCCTGGGCTCACCTATAAGTTCGTTACTCAAGGAATATGAAAAGTTTTGGAGGGCCATGTTCTCTGCTAATCTCGAAGTGAATAAAACCATATCCTCTCCTTATACCAACCCCATCTCCATCCCCAGTCCATAAAAGGGACACAGCAAGACAGTTCATGATTTCCTATATTCCATATTAGCTTTAATGCACAAAAAAATGTGATCCAGCTCTGAATATTTACTAAGATAATCTAACTCATCCAGCAGTGCCAGACCTCCCACCACTTTTACACAAGATAACCAGTAGTATTTCTTACCCTTTTGCATAGTTTAACAGAGTAAGACTCAAAAGTTTCACTTTGACTTTTCTGATTAAATGTCTTGAGTATCCCTAACAGTTTTCCTGTAGGTTTTTATCCAGGGGAGCCCAGACCTGGACCCAGCACTCCAGATGTGGCTCCACCCATACTGAGTAGAGTGGAAGGATCACTTCCTTCAACGTGCTGGCAACAGTCTTCCTAACGCACTGCTTCTTCCTAAAGAGGGTTGTTGGCCTTCTTTGTCATGAGGGTGCACTGCTGGTCTATGTCCAACTTGTTGTCCACCAAGACCACTATGGCCTTCTCTGCAAAGCTGCTCTCCAGCTAGTTATCTCCCAGTCTGTACTTGTGCAAGGGGTTATTTCTGCCCAAGGGCAGGTCTTGGCACTTTATGAGGCTCCTCCTCCAGCTTGCTCTCAAGCTTCCTCTGAATAGTAGCATAGCCATCTGGGGTGTCGGTCATTCCTCCCAGCTCTGTATCATCTTGCTGAAGGTGCATTCTGTCTCATCATCCAGGTCATTAATGAAGTTGTTAGACAATATTGAACCCAGTATTGGTCCTTGGGGACACCACTAGTGACTGCTCTCCAGTTGGACTTCATGCTACTGATCATGACTCTCTGAGTGTGGCAATTCAACTAGTTTTCAATTCACCTCATTGACCGCCTATTTAGTCTACACTCCATCAGCTCATCTATGAGGCTTTTATGAGAGACAGCGTCAAAAGCCTTACTAAAGTCAAGGTAATAGCATCCACTACTCTCCTCTTATCTACCAAGCCAGTCATCTCTTCACAGAAGACTGTCAGGTTAGTTAAACACAATTTCCCCTTCTCAACCATCTTCTTTTCCTTCACACATCTGAAAACAGTGTCCAGGACTAGCTGCTGCACCTAGTCATGCACGAAAACTCCAGTTCAGAAATCAGAGACCATGTTTGAAAAAAATGATTATTCTGGAGCCAAACATCATGCTTTTAAGCTGCCCATATTTGACTATTCGAAATAGTATGACTGCTGATTTAGGAAGTAGTTCATACTTAATATTAAACTTATTCAAGAGGAAAAGAGCAACTTTTTTCTCCCCCTCATACCTGTCCACTAGGGAAAAGGATCGCTAAGGAAGCAATATATTGCAAAAATATGACTGCTTTCTCATCATGTAAAATGAAAGTTCTATTTTCCCTAAACATTCAGTTAAATAATTAAGAAAGAATAATTATTGATGAAAATCCTATATTCAATTATCAAAACTGTTATTAACTGACTGAGCAAAATTAAGTCAATAAAGCTGTTTGTAAGGTAAACCTATTGGCTGTGGTGTAAAATAAGTTGTGTGAAGAACATAGATGAAACCTATCTTGTAACCTTGAAACATGTAAGAAATGAGGAAAGTAAAGAACTCCTGGAAAAAGCCAAAAGGATGACTGAGGCTGATATCACTGGAGAAGCAAGGGTGGGGAAAGAAATCAGCATGTCACAAAACAAAGGAGGGAATGACTAATAGGAAAGGGCAGATATATGAAAGACTTGAAAGCCCGCACAAAAGGCTGGATGTTGATAGGATGAATCAGTGAAGGGATTCACAAAGAATGACAAGAAAGACAAATCATCTTAACAATCATGTTTTGAACAGACTGGAAAAGGTTGCTGTCATTTTCAGAGAGGCATGGGTAATTAATCTGCACGATAATCTGCATAGAGAAAGAGATATCATTTAGAAATACATCAGAGCAGAATGTAATAAGATTATTACTATAAAAATAAATAATAGCAACGATTTACATGCTGCTTTAAATGTGCAGGATGAGAAAATGGCCCCAAGTAACAAGCATGACTGAGCTTGTGAATGGTGTTAATCACAGAAAACATGAATGGGAAATGGTTTCATGGGAAAGATAAAGAATTCAGATTATACCATATTAAGTTTAAATTGACAGAACGACAACCCAGTGGAAATACTGGAGAGAGATGCCAAACAGTTCGACTGAGGGAGAGGCAGATGAGGAGCAGATAAAAAGGGTTGAGAACCATCACCAGCATGAGAGTAAGGGAAGCCCAGCAATCCAGTGAGAAAGAAACAGCAAAGAAGGGACAGGCAGGCACCCACCTGCCAGGAATACTCAGGAAAGACAGGCGGCAAGAGCAGAGTAGATAAAAAACAGTGAAAGGCCAAATAAGAAAAAAATTAGGAAAAGACACAAAAGATGTTATTTTCTAAGAAAGCTCTACCCTGTTTCTGTTTCAAATGACTGGTACACAAAAGCCAGCAGACGAGGTAAGAATACAAGTGAATATTAACAGCTAAGGTGACTTGAGAATAAGTGTGCCCTAAAGCTAAGTTCCCATGAGCCCAGGCACCTCATTAAGTGACCTCATTTTGAGAAGTGCTGAACGTCCCGCAGCTCTGCCTGATTTCATTACATACTTCTTAAGGAGTGCCAGTGCTCACCGCCCTGGCCGAGACCCCGGCAGCGACAGAAAACACATCCCTTCCTTACGTGCTCAAATGGTGACAAACAAACTGCACCTTTCTGCCCCATTTCCTTCCTCCCCCTCCTTTTTGAATACTTTAATACTGAATCCTATTTATAGGGATAGAGTTGACTGAAATAATAGAAAAAAATGGCTTATTTAATACAGTTGTAAGCAGTGACATCTGACCCAGTCTGACTCAACTTTGAGGACTTTTGGACAGTTCAGAGACAAACTCGCTTTGATCATAAAAAATATGAGACTTTGAACAAAATGGTGCATTATTATTTTGCGTCAACTGCATAAGAAAAGGAGATGTACTATTACTGCTTTGAGAACTGCATTATACTGGCAGTTTGGTCCAAATGGAGCTGCAACACACAGTAGTAACACAGACTTAATATCTGACTAAAATGCAACAGTGCACTAGGAAAACCCAACACCTCAACACCTTTTAGTTACCTCTTTGACTATCTTTGAAAGTTTCATAAACCAAACAGGCTGCCAGCATTCATAGCAGCATAAGCAATTTGAGAGCTTACTAAAGCTAACAAAACTTTACATGATTACCTAATTTCTAGAGAAATGCTTCTTTGAGATGTAAAGTAACTAGCTAGAATATGTATCTCGTCTTTTGTTCCAGCAAGAGAGTGAGACTTGTCTGGTGGAATGAATAAGGGAAAATTCTACAATACATTTTAGAAAGAACTATCTAATTATGAAAACTGTTCTATGTGAGTAACAAAGCAGTGACATGCGAAAGCCTTCACTTCCTCCTCTTCTCCCAGGGAAGAAGGACTATCACCCATTTCTTCATACTTCTTTCATTCTGCAATGTGCTGGCAACTCCAAGTTCCTATTTTAACTCATCTATGATTTCTGTTCAGTTATGCTCCAGTGGAGAGGAAAAATTCCTATCATTGCTTTTACAAGGCAGCAAAAAGACACACTGCCTTCTGTCAGCAAATGCTTCACCGGAGTGCCTTAGTTTTAGCTCTTTGGTCTCAACTCAGTCAATAATTTTTGCATATACCTAACTTGAATGATCCGCGCTCTCCCACCCTGCCATGAGATTACTCATATGCTTAGCCCAAGCACATGGAAGAAAGAAAACCTTAATTTATGATAGATACGAGACTCATACTTTGTGCTGATTTTTTGCTGCAGAAGGCAGGATACTTTGTATAGAGCTGGACCATGGCATTAACCAGTATTTTGCGCCCTGCCACTTTGCTGTCCTTCACACCATCACACTGATCTCAAATAATGAAAAACACCCATTAAAACAGCCCTGACATTTAACATACTCGGGTCAATCTTCCTCATGCTAAGAAGCGATAAATAAGGACTTCACATCTCCTCAAAACTCACACACACGTGTGCTCTGCAGTTGGAAGCCAGACATATTTCAGCAGCCCAACAACTTGTCTACACGCATCAAGAAGTAGATGAGATTCCTGTCTCCCCACTAAGAGGGCAGGACCATGCTGGGGCAGCTTTTCCAGAGTGGTGGCAGGATTCCTGGAGGTGTCCAAGATCCAGGAAGATGATAGAGCTGATAAAGCCAGTGATAGCTGAGAACAGTCAGACTGCACACGGAATGTTGGACTAGATAACCCCAGAGGTCCCTGCAAACAACATTTCTGTGAGACTTACCTTCCTTTGTTTCCATTTCAGTGATGGTAAAAAGGCAAAATATTATTATTTCATACAATATTTCTGACATGCAACAGATTACAAAAAGGAAACCTGTTGTTGGATATTTATTTATGTATCTGTAACTGAGATAGATAGGAATATAGTCAAATCCATTACTAAGGGACTGCTGGTTCCTAGTTGCTTTCCAACTTTTCTTCCAGGTCCTTTGCTGGCAATATTAAATTATTCTTGCTGTTTCTGTTTCCCTCCGTCTCCCAGGACTGACAAAAATGTCTGAAAATCCTGGTAATCTCTGAAAAATATGTGCCTTCTAACAACTCTTCCTAAACAGAACTATTGATCTTTTCTGGAGAAGTTCAACATAACTGTGATTTGAAATACATCTAAAACAAGCTTAGAAATTATGCCAAAGAGCAAGGAAGCTGCTCCACTTTGTTCAGCTTTGCCCATGGATATGCAGAGCAGTGTGTATTTGAATACTTTGCCTGCATAAACAGGAAAATCTGCCTTTGTGGAGAAGCTAGAGGATTGAAGCTCTTAGTTACTGTGCCAATAAAAGACACTGTAGTGCACATAAATTTATATGAGACTTAAAAAAGAAATGAAAACTGCATGCAAAGTATTTTATTAGCATAAGAAAATGCAAATTAGCTAAAATGCACAAATCATAGTAAAATAAAATAAAATAAAATAAAATAAAATAAAATAAAAACACTAAATTAAAACTGTGATAAGAAACAGCATTAGTTTGCATGATGGACTAATACAACACTGGAAATAATTTCCATAATTATTTTTCCAGAGTGGGATTTTTGTGACAGGCGAAAGAAGCAGTTTTTACCCAATATTGCAATGAAAAACATATGTCTATGGCTAAGCAGTCTCAGCAGTAAATCTCTGTAATCTTAAACTACTATCTGCATTTTGGAACTGCGCAATTTTTTCCAAGGTCACTCATGCATGGAGTTCAGATGCTCAGGCCATGACTTTGCCATTGCCACAAAACTGGCATCCTACATTCATCTGAATGGGAAATTATGTATTCATATTCTATTAGATCATTCTCCTTTCTTATTTTTTAATGTTTTCCTGGAGTATAAGTAAGCAATCAGGCAAACAGAATCAAACTTTTTCCACTGCATGTAACTGTTGCACCAGTGTGTGGACTAGAAGGTAAGCAAAGATGGGCATTTATTCTTTGAATTTTTAAATAAAAATTTCCTTATTGCAAAAAGAGGTATCATGTCATTTGAAACTCTTGTCCCATCAGACTCAATGGGAGTATTCCATTGATTTTGAAAAGGCCATATTTCTCTTCTAAAAAAAAACCTCTTAATGTATCTACTTCTTGTATCAGCAATGTACACTGCAATGGTCCAATTAAAATCATTATAATCCTTCTGATTTTTAAGGAGGTTTCTCTTACATATACAAAATATTGCAGCGAAAAAAAACATAAGCCTCTCTTCTGAGAAACAAATTTTGCAATTCAATAGTGTGCTTTAATTTTGGCATATAGCATATAGACAGTGCTTTTAAAGCCTGCAAGGGTAGTTTTATGTGCATATAAGTGAAATCAACAAGTTTACTCAGGTCTTTAATATGGTACATGTACATGCATGTAACTACTGTGATCCCTGTCTTGGTAGTTCTGTACATAATTTAAAGTTGCCATTATAAAAGGGATAACTTTTGCTTAGGATAATTCTGTATCTGAAAAAAAAAGGGAAACAAAGCTACAATTTCATTAGAGTTTCAGTAAAGGTTTAATATAAAAAGATAAAATGCACAGGCAACTTTTAATAAGGGTTTTAAAAGCCAAAGTTTTTTCTTAGATCAGGGCTATTTTATTAGAAAACGTGTTTGGAACAAAGCAAAAAAAGCATCAAATATGCATTTCTGCACTACAGTCTATGTAAATCATTTTTCTAAGGGCAGACAGGAGTGTTCAAAGAGCTGATAATGATGTCTCAAACTTGTAAACTACCACTTCAAAATCAGCTTATAGTGCTAAGGATCAAAAATATGAAACCCAGGATCTGTCCATTACCAAAGGGACCCAGAGAGTCTGTCCCATGTGCTTGCTCTTCACAGAACCAGAAAACATCAGTTTTTGCTGTTGGCCCATACAGCAGTTTCTACAAATACCTTGTATATTTATGTCTTTTTTTTTCTTTTCTTTTCTTTTTTTTTTTTAATAAAGAAAAGGAAAAGGCCAAAAAAGGAAACCCTGGTAAGGTCATAAAATTATTTGAGTGTCAGGCATACTCACAGTATGATTTCCATATTGGAGGCTGGTATTCTTCAGCATCTAAAATAGAAAGGAAAAGGGGGAAAGAAATCAGTCACTTGGTCACCAAGTCAAACTGGGAGCATGCATATTCTGTTGAGAGACCGCAGCTTGTCAGCAAAATGTACATTTCTTTCCCAAGAGAAATGCTAGTTCATTTACAAAACAGTCTTCTATGGAAGACAAGCATATAAATTTCACCACTTGTGGAGCCAAAGTGTTTTTTCCAAATTAATCAAATACAACAGGAATTCATTTCTTACCAATTTGCATAAAGTTTCTTACCTCACCAGAATTCTTACAGTAATTAACTAGAATAAACACAGACAGAATTATTTATTTTATTTGCAGGATAAACAGACAAATCACAACTGATTTGCAATCAGGCTTCTAACCCCTCCATTATGATTTCAAAAGCATTAATGAATAATATATGCCTTAGCTAAAAAGATGCACAGCTCAGACTGGGCTCTGATATACAGATCTGACAGTTCCCACAACAACATTCAGTTACATGTCTTGAACTGACAATAATTTGCAATTTGCATATTTCACAGAAACTGCATCAGCAAAAATAATAACAAAAGGTTAGAGAAAGGAAAGACTGGAAAAACTGCAATTGGAAACAGATGACAACTGTTGTATGTGTCAAGTGAAGGAGCACAAAAGGAGTTGATATATTTTCATAGCACAAGAGTTATGCAGTTACTTCTGGTAAACTGCTGGCAAAGAGACTCAAGCTTCTGAGCTTGAAAGGTGTAAATTTGTATGGCCTGAGCTGGAGAATAACATAACAAACCAAACCAAACCAAAAACCCACGGTATATTAAGAGCCATGAGCATAAAAGCTCTCTGGAAGGCAGGCAAGCACCTCTTGCCTTATCGAGTACCTGAGCCTGCAAGCCTCAAGATCGATTTCCTGCTGCAGGAAAAGCTGTTGCTTCAACCAGAATCCAGAAATCCCAGCAAAGGTCAAGCTTGATCTTTAGGAGTGAAATGCAGAGCTACAAACCAGCTGCCATACTGCTGGAAAGGGTGGGGAATCATGTCTTAGTTTGGCTCTAGACTACCTTGTTGCCAAACACTTGGAAGAGTCACTTATAGTGGGTGTATCATTAACCTCCTAATACTGTTCAAGTTAATTAAGGTGTTTGGTGTTTACTAAACTTCTACTTAAGTTATGCTAATAAAATTCAATTATAGTTGCATAGCTCATGCTCACTGTCTATTTATATACATGCAACCACTTTAAATATATCCATGCAAAATTTTGTTTACTAAGAATGTTAATCATTAGCTACCATCTGCCACTTTTAACTACATTGTTTTAAAGAAGGATAAAACCTAGCAATTATCACAGTTGCTGCCTGTAATAATATTCTGTAACATTTTGCAAATATATTGATTGGGAAACCCATTCAACTGCAGTTTCATCTAAATCCACTTCACAATTTTGCCAAAATTTTAAAGTGCTCTCAGACTAACAGAGTTACACCATACTGTGGCAATCCAGGAGTAATTAGCTTGCAAGTTCATTATGCAAAAGGATTATTTTAAATTATCTGAAGCTATTCATGAGACCAGTGAAATTTATTCATGCAGGAGCAAGCTAATTTTTTTTCCCTCTCTCATTATAATGATAATATATTACTCGGTTTCTTCTATACATCTGTTGCTTTCCATATAGTTCATCATAGCACAGTAACATGATGTATTAAATTATTTTGTGATACTTCTGTAATACTGCAACAGAATTTCTGATTCGCTTGTTAAATTAAATATATTTTTCCAGTAAGATAAACATTGAGATAACACAAATAAATTTATCTATACTTCTGACTCCAGAAAAGGCTAATAACAGAAAAAAAACAAGGAAAAACTTGAGTTTACACTGTTGTAATAGTCATCCAAATTAATTAGAAAAGCAAAGTAAATCGAACAATGAAAGTTCATCTGTACGGGGCCATAAACTGCTTCATTAGCTTTAGATGGACTGATGGTACGGAAACAGTCTAGGTACAGAGCAATCATCTTGGAGATAGTCATAAAACAAAAACTCTTGATGATTATGTTAGATTTGTCATGGTTAATCTGTCAACCCCGGAAAGACTCAATACATTAAATAATTCTTATGAGCAGCACAATCAGTAGAAAAACAAGGGTCACCAGTTCCATCTTTTCTCTTACAAGGTACAGCAATATGCTGTGTGATCCTTTCAGTTGATACTGTGTTCTTAAGTCACGGAAAAAACTATCCACAGGTTTTATTATTACTGTTGGTTATCATCAAGCTACTGTGAATGACATCTGCTGACATACATTTGTTGGGAAACAAAGAGTAATTCCTTTAAATTCAATCCAGAGACAGAGGTGATACTTATGGATCAAAGAAACATCTAATGGAGTTGAGACATGGACTTCATGCCCCTGTTGCAGAAGACAGGCAGTGGCTCCCTCACAGACAGAGCCCAGGTAAGAATAAGGGTGCCGTTCTATGTGGCTACCAGCGTGGAAACTAGCCACAGGGTAGCAACTACTGTGACTCAATAACCACAAAAATACACCAGCTTTTCTCCTTGTCTGCAAACAGGACTTTGGACTCTCATCCGCGATGACTAGTTTATACTAAATTTCAGCTGTTCACAAGACAGGGATTAAATGAGATGAATACTATCCAAGTGCACGGGATTACTACTATTTGCCTCTTGTTGTATTCTTTATTCTACTTCTTTTATGTATACATATATATATTATTCCTCTTCTACTGTAAGGTCGGTAAACTATTAAAGTTGTCTATCACACTCTGTCACCAAGCTTAGTACAGCGGGATCACTAGGGTACAGAAGTTGCCAATAGTAGTTTGGGTGGTCGGCTCAACCCTGTCACAACTTCTCTCTTCTCTTCTGTTCACAGTAGGGATCTCAGTAAGGACCAAAACCTCTTGTGTGACTTAGCTGGCTGTTTGACAAAAATCAATCACTGGATAAATAAATAAATTCAACTTGGAACCAGTGAGAAGTGCCCCATGTTGATCTCCCACTAAATTATCTTAACATGAACTTTGCTTATAATGTTTATCACAACTGTGATAGGCAGCATGTGAAGAAAACTCTCACTGGCATATTCTTAGGTGATAAAACAGGATCTCTCCAACTGCTCGAAGGGTTCATACTTTCAACAGCGATATCTTGTCTAAACCCAAGAAATGAACCAGTAAAGATAAGATTGAAAGCAGTCCTACGAAAGAAATAGGGAAAACGAATGAGTATCAGTACCACAAAATGTTACAGGGCCAGCTACAACCCACCTGTCTGAGGTCAGAGAGCCTCCCTGTGAAAGAATTACATCACGTCCAGGAGGTCATGCCTGGTTGGGTTGCTTCAAGTCTTACCTGTACTTTATCAGAAGAGACTAGCAAAACCAGAAAACCTAACAAATGCTCATTCCACTCCCAAACTGGAAAGAGTGGCGCTGGAAAAAAAATAAGGGACTGGCATGAAGAATATTAGGGACCATATTATCTATCAAAAGTCTGAAATACAACTATTTAGAAGATGAATACTTGTCAGAGCTAAGAATATGACTAGAAGTTGGTCAAATGTTAAGCAGAAAGACAAAATGAATGCTGAATGCTGACTCTTGGGGAATATTTCAGCTGCACAGCTGTTTCTCACTGCACACTAATATAGTCATAATGGATGGACAAAGATACTGTAGAAAATGTGATCCTAGAGAATTGGAAAGTCGCAATAAGGAAAAGCTGATCGGCTCTTCACTTGATTTGCTTTACTCTTCACAGAGTAGAAAGAGGATGAAAAGCATCCGAAGAATGACTTTTTTTCACAAGATTGCTGCAGTAATATAGGAGCTGAATAAAAGCAGAACGACAACTATAAAATGACTACTGAAAAGTTGGCAAAACTTTAAGCAATAAGATTAAAAGTAAATTTATGCAAAGAAATCTAAGATAAAGGACTGTTTCAACACGTGATGCCTGGCAAATGGTTAATAGAATTATTTTTAAACAATTTCTGAAAAAAAAGAAGAGGCTTATATTAATGATGCAGGAAGTAAACTTATTGATGGACTTCAGGCTTCATTTTTCAGCCTGCCTGGCTCTATATCAAAATAAACCACAGACCATCTTTTTGGATGTTGTTGGAAAAGACATTGCAATGGTGCACAGTACTTAGGACGAACCGCCTTTTTACTACTTCCTTGTACTTTATGAAGATGATGATTTAATGTCAACATTTGAGTCTTGGTATTACTAGCACCAGGACTGGCCAAGCTAAGGCAGATTTAATATAATAACCATCAGGCTAAACCTTTGCCTATTTGGACTGATAATGCACTGGCAAGCATAAAACTCTCTTTTACAAGGAAAATCGGAAATTATGTCACACCATTCATAGAATCATAGAATCATAGAATGCTTAGGGTTGGAAGGGACCTCTAGAGATCATCTAGTCCAACCCCCCTGCATACGCAGGGACACCTAGAGCACGTGGCACAGGACTGCATCCAAGCGGGTTTTGAAGATCTCCAGAGAAGGAGACTCCACAACCTCTCTGGGCAGCCTGTTCCAGGGCTCTGTCACCCTCACTGTCAAGAAATTTTTCCTTAAGCTCCTGTGGAACTTTTGGTTCTTCAGTTTGTGGCCATTACCTCTAGTTCTGTCAGTGGTCACCAGTGAAAAGAGGCCAGCCCCATCTCACTGCCTCCCTTGAGGTACTTATAGACACTGATTAGATCTCTTCTCCAGGCTGAACAGGCCCAGCTCCCTCAGCCTCTCCTCATAGGGCAGATGTTCCAGGCCCCTGATCATCCTCGTAGCCCTGCACTGGACTCTCTCCAGCAGCTCCACATCCCTCTTGTACTGTGGAGCCCAGAACTGGACACAATACTCCAGATGCGGCCTCACCAGGGCTGAGTAGAGGGGCAGGATCACCTCCCTCGACCTGCTGGAGACACTCTTCTTAATGCACTCCAGGACCCCATTGGCCTTCTTGGCCACGAGGGCACACTGCTGCCTCATGGTCAACTTATCATCCACCATGACACCCAGGTCTTTCTCCATAGAGCTGCTCTCCAGAAGGTCAGTCCCCAGCCTGTACCATTAAGTATTTCTGATTTGCAAGGGGCATTTCTAATTCTAAGAGGAGCAGCAACATACTTCTGCACTGCAGCTATATGCCATGGCCAGTAATAGATATTGTAAAAAGCATTAATGATTCCTAGAGTAGTAAATATTTAAGCTGCACAGTAGCAAGACAGCTTGCTCAATGAAACTTGCTGCTGGGTTCCTCATAGGCAGTAGAAAAGAGGAGGAAAATGTTTTTTTTTGCCTTTGGCCTCAGTATAGCATTATAAAAACAAACTGCACTTCGCCCTGGAAGCGCTGTCTCAGCCTGGACTTTCTGCCATCATTGTTTGAACTACAGACTTCCCTTCCAGTAATGACTAATTTTAAATCCATGATGAGGAAGAACCGACCAGCAAACCACCAGCTTATTAGCAGTGCGCAGATAAATGATTCACCAGATGAACAACTCTAATGACTGAGGTTTTTTTCATTTTCTATTGTTATTTTCAGGTCCAATAGTTGTTAAGGAAAATATACAAAAGGTATTAAAATAATAAAAAAGATTATGCAGTTCTACTATGTACAGCACTTGTGGTTTTATGTCTTTGTTTTCAAAACATTATTGTACAATATTAGATACATTTTTCTTATTTTTATATAAATAATTATGTGTATATGGATGAGATATAACTTTTGAATAAAAGGCTTTGATATCAACGGTATTTTTACTCTTTAGGGACATGCACTTTTTTCTTTTATTATTCCTCTAATAAACAGTATAATATGATACAGAAGACTAGAACGGGGATGGAGGTGAAAGCAAAAGAATAATAAAGGAACTTCTTTGAAAGGGCCAGCTCTTTTTCAACACATAAATCATTACAGCATTATTTAATTTTCACTGTGTGCTTAACACTCACCAATTACTGAACTTCGTTTTTTCCCATCTTATCTGTACCGCTAACGGCTCAAATGGAAGATGGCGAATGGCTACTTTCATTTTTTTTACCCTCTCTTTATCACCAATTAATATACATGTATACACAACTATCACACATTTCAGTAATTCTGTACAAGTCAACTTTCTTCTATGTTTGCTTTTCATTTGGCATATTCATTTAGGTGTTTTACTTGCTCATATTAAAAACAGTAACTGTCCCCACAAGCATGAGAAAGAGAATTTTTAATTAAATACTTTGAGATAGAGCATTCTTCTTTGTTATTTACCTTGTAAATAATTATACTGTCAAATGAGAACCTGTGACTCCTAAAAATCCAGCGTGCCTTTGAACAGCAAAATTAATTCTCTACACAGTTAATAATTAGTGATGTAGCTGTTGAAATAGCTCAGTGTGTCATAAACTCTGTTTAATGTTTCATTCAGAAATGTATATTGCCTATACAGAAGGCAGCATATGACAGTTTTACTGCTGAAATTTCTCTTTACTAATAGTACACAGGCAACTCAAATATGGAAACATACTTCAATTTTTATTTTAATGAGACACTTCAACTTTCAGTACAAGGCATAGAAATAGAAATTATTGAATTGATTATTTGCAGCATAGTTTTTAATTAATAAATTAATTCAGATTTTGGGTGCTTTCTGCAGTGTACTCTTAAAAAATCAGTGATGATCTGTAATTTAAAACCTGAAAAAATGCTCATAAAAGGGTGGAACATGATCTTGCATAGTAATTAGGCTGATACTACAAGCCTTTAATATGTACAATATAAAAAAACAGCTATTTTGTATCTTTTGCATTCGCCTACAACAAACTTATGATTATAAACTACTTCTGTAAATTTAGCTTTTTTTGTCCCTTCTGCCAACCAGAATCCTTCTAGATTTTGCTCACTCTTGCTCTTGCTTCATTTTCAAAGCATTAATTTCTCACTAATATAAAGGTAGACGGTTCCACTAGTAATTTTGTTTGATGCAGATGAAAGATTATGTAAATATGTAACTCTAATAATTAGAAAAGTTATCAAGTATTAACTGACCAAATATGAATCACTAGGCGAATTGCTCTCCAAAGATCACAAGAGATTTTAATTATTTCAAACCATAGCGAAATTTGTAGACCAAAAGATGAAAAAGTGCCATGTTCTGCAATTGGTGAGTGCTCTTCAGACAGCTATGACTACCTAATCATCGTAATATTATGGTTAATTAAAAAATATGCCTTCCATTCTGAAAAAAATTAAATCGCAATTATAACTCGAGTGACAAAATCCCACCTTCATCAATTTTTGAAATGGAGGGAAGCAACAAACAACGCTTTCAATATCCATACAAAAAATGTAAAAGGGAAGGGTATTTGTACAAGCTTAGTTTTCATCCTTCTTACGGCCAATATGTAGGGTCCTTGTAAATAGATTTCTCGAAAGAGCAAATCATAGCACCCCAAAGAGATCTAATTTTAGCTGATGTGAATTTTTGGAATTATTTGAATATTTTCAGGGAAATTTATATCGTTTTAGAGTCCATAGTGGTATTCACTCTACCTAACTTCAGGCAGATATGTTCTTTCTAACACTGAATCCCTTTGAAATTATTTGACTTGTGATGACATTTAAGAGTCTGTCTGATTCATGGGCTTCTGAATATTTTCACAGCAAGACTTTGTTGCCATCTTTGTTGATGGTTGCCACTAAATCTAATCCGGTCACCAAAAATTAAATCTCAAAGCTTGCTAGCATTATCTGTTTTAAAAGTAAAGTATAATTAAAATGTAACATATTTATTTTCACATTTTCATAAATTTTAATCTGGAAACCAGAGGCACCAAGAAATTAAAATGGCACAGTTAGGGCTCTGCATGACAGAGGTTGATATTTCATTAGTAGGAATAAACACGACCTAAGTTAAACCGCATTCCATTAGAAGACCTCATATCTTCTGCAGATATCCTTTTGCTTCTAGCTAATGACCAGTTAGTTCCTGGCTAAAACTCAAGACCAGATAATCAGCTGGCATCCAGGCAAGCAGCTCCACTGAAGCAATTTTATCACTATGCAGAATGTGGCAACGTTTTCCCAGCCAGTTACTTAAGGCAATTAAAAAAAAAAAAAAAAAACACAGCAAAAAGTTAACTCTCCATCCAGTGAGGCCTGGACTCTACAGACAATCCAAGCACTACATGAAAAG